CCCTGCTAGGGTCAGATGATTTCTGGAGTATTCTTTTCTAGACACCAGCTAGATTGGATTCCTTTTTGGCTCCTTTCATGATTGCTGTCTTTTGTAGCTCCATGCCTTAGCTCACACTGTGCTGAAATGTCTTCCCTCAGCCTTTTTGCTGTTAAATTCCAACTCAAATGCCATCTCCTCCAAGAAGCCTTCCCTCATCATCCAGCTGATAATAACCTTTCTCCTGAGACTTGCCATGTAATACTGTAAATTGTAACTGTGTTAGTATCATCTCTTCACTAGTTGGGGTAGCATCTTCCCCACACACAATGAGTCTCCTGCACACAATGAGTAATATTTGTTGTAATCAGGTCCAGTTGTGGACACCTTATTTTAGGGAGGACATTGAGAAGCTGGAGAACGTTCAGAGGAGAATGACCAATACCCATGAAGGGATATAAAACCATGTCAGTCTAGAATCAAGGACTTGTGGAAGAAATAACTAGAAATAGCTAGTTTGGCCTAGAGAAGAGAAAATTTAGGAAGAACATGGTCAGTTTGTAAGTATTTAAAAAGCCGTCAAGTCAAATAGGGATTAAACTTGTTCTGCTTAGTCCCAAAAGGCAGAACTAGAGCACTGGGTGGTCCTATTTACCTTGAGCACAATGAAAGGGAACATGGCTCTTCTCCCCCTTACTCCCCTCCCCACCCACAAGAGGATATTGAAAACAATTTCTGTCTTGTTGAAATGGGTTTCTATGTAAAAGAATTCTTTTGTGAAGCCTTTTGTAAAGTGAAAACCCAGCCTCTAATTTATCTTTTATATTAAGGTGGATTTTCCTATACAGGCTGTCCCCAACTAACAAACTTTGTTCCAAAAATTTGTTTGTGAGTCAATTGTTTGGAATGTGTAACACATTTTTCCCATGGAAACAATGTTATAAATGATGGTTAGGTCCCCAGGCCAGCCCACCAAAGCCTATGGAGCTGAACTATAGTGCTTTTAGTCCAGAATGCAGATTGGACCCTGAGAGCAGGAGGCCATGTGGTGCAGGATGGAGAAAGAATAGCTCAGCATCTTTTCTGAGATGATGGTCTCAGAGTGTCATCTGGGACTCTGAGAGGTTAAGCGACTTGCCCAGTATCACACAGTCAATATGTCAGAGGCAGAACTTGAATTGGGGTCTTCCTGACCCAGAAGCCAGCTTACCATCTACTATATGCTGTGGCTTGACAACAGAAATGGTTAAGTCGTATGCATTCATGAAGCACTTACATTTCTATAGCATGATATTACTTATAAAATGCTTTCCTCATAACACTCCCATGACATAGGTTGTGAAAATAATGTCTCCATTTTGCAGATAAAGAAATTGAGACTCAAAGAGAAGAAATTACTTACCCAAGCCCATGCAGAGAGGCAATATTGGAGCTAGGATGCAACTATAATGGATGAGGCACTGCATTTAGAGTAAAGAAAATCAATGTTCAAATCTAGTCCCAGACACTTACTAGCTGCGTGACCCTGAGCAAGTGACATAACCTCTCTGTGGCTTAGTTTCTTCAGCTATAAAATGAAGGGTTTGATGATAATGATATTAGATTAGTGGCCTCTTAGGCCCCTTACAGTTCTAAACCTGTGATGCTCAGAGTCTGCATCCTCTGCTCTTCCCTCTATAGAAGGATACTTAATTCTCTTTCTCTCTCTCTCTCCCCCTCGCCTTTATTCGGTAGAGAGCCAGCCTTCAGCAAAATTTTGTGTGGTCTTTGACCACTTCTCATTTCCCTTTCTAATCCCCTCCCCAGTTTCCTAGTACTGGTCTTCTCGGGTTTTCAGTGCCCTCATCCTTCCCTGAGTCCCCTGTTGGAATAATGCTTGTAGGCCTGCCCTACACTAAAATGCCCCAGGTACCAAACTTATCTACCTCTACTTCCCACATTTAAAGCTTCCATTCCCACATTTACTAGTTACCAAACAGACTTTAGCAGGAAAGAAATGATTGGACCAATTTACACAAACATGAGTTATAATCCTTTAAGCTTTCAGGAGACTCCTCAATTCAAGTGACTCTCTAATAGAACAAAGTATAACAGTGTAAAAAGTCTTGTTATTGGATTTTATCTAAGGGAAACATTATCATCAACAAGTTATATGCTGCCTCTGAAATGCCATTGGCTCATCATGAGGCTTACAGCTGGGAAACAGCCACCTTTCCCAAAAGCACACAGCATTCTATAAGCAAGCATCCTAAATTCCCTAGCCTACAGTGGGACTGGCCCAGGCTACAATGAGAAAGACCAACCTTACTCTCAACATGCCTCTGGATTGGAATAAATGACATTTGCACTGTATCCAACTGATTTGGTTTGTTGTGACTCATTCTGCATAGTAAGCAAAGGGCCTTGAAGGAGTCTTGGTTGGGGAATAGCTAAACAAATTGTGGTACGTGAATGTAATGAACTGTTACTGTACTGTAAGAAAAGACAAATATGATGAGTACAGAGAAGCATGGGAAGACAAGAACTGATAAAGTAAGCAGGATAAGGAAAACAATATACACAATGATTTGTTCAATTGTTTCAGTCATGTCTGACTCTTGGTCACTCCATTTGGGGTTTTCTTGAGAAAGATACTGGAGTAGTTTGCCATTTCCTTCTCCAGCTCATTTTACAGATGAGGAAACTGAGGCAAATGCTGTTCAGTAACTGGCCCAGGGTCACACAGCTAGTATGAAGCCAGACTTGAACCCAGGAAAATGAGTCTTCCTGACTCCAGATCCAGCACTCTATACTTTATGCCACCTAGCTGCCCCTCACAGTGACAGAAACAATGTAGATGGGAAGAAGACAAAATATAATAATAAAACTTCATGATGTGTAACAAAAATGATCACACTTGTTCCCAGAGAAGAGATGAGAAAATAGATCTCCTTCCTTTCTTTTCAGAGGTAGGGAACTGTGGGTATGTGTGCTGGTTAGTTCTACTGATCTTTTTCTTTTTTTTTTTGTGAGAAAGAATGGCTCTCTCGGTAGAAGAGAAATACATTCAGAAAGAAAGCTGATGTAAAAATAAGAGCCATCAATAATTTTCTTTAAAAATGAAGGAGCAACTTTGGGGCAGAGGAGCACATCACTCTCCTTCTGTCCTCTCACAGGGCCCTACTCTGATTTTATCCCTCTTTTGCTTTCACCTGTACTACTTTAACAGCCTCCTAAGTGTTCTTTCTTTTTCCAGTCTTCACTCTTTCCAATCCACCATTAACATCACTGGCCTAAGTAATCTTTGTACAATGCTCAGGTGTCATCACGCCATCCTTTATTTAATGATGTCCTTTGCCCATAGGACAAAATACAAATATCTTAGTTGATTGATGGATTGATATATTCCAAAATCTGGCTCCGACCTCTTTTTATAGCTTTACGTGCCAGGAACTGTTCTAGGCACTGGCAATACAAATACAAAAGGGAGTCCGTGCACTCAGGCATTGTTTATATTCTATAGTGAGTCAAACCAGTTGATTCATTATTCCCCGATCTCATGGCCCATCTCTGTGCCTTTCTTTGTGTACACATTCGTGGAATGGTCTCTGCCCCTCCCCCATTATTCCTCACTTTCAGGGCCCAGTTCATATGCCACCTTCTCCACCAAATCCTTACTGATTCCTCCCAGATGTGTTCTCTCCCTTCCAAGTCTCTCATACTCTGGTTGAACCTCTCCCTATGCACATATCAACTTGTGTTATAATTATTTGTGTATTTATCTTATCTCCTCCTCCCTACCCCATTGTAATGTCCTTGAAGTCATTTTAGGGGTCCTTTTTCAACCTAGCATAGCTCCCCCTCCCACATAAACGTTTAATAAATGTTTGTGGGAATTAATTGAATTCTGAAGAATAGGAAGTTATTTCTCTAAAGCAGGGGTTCTTAACATGGTATCTCTGCATTTAAAAAAAAATTTTGATAACTGTATTTCAATAGAATTGTTTCATTGTGTAATCCTATGTATTTTATTTTATGCATTTAAAAAACATTATTTTGAGAAGGGGCCCATAGGGTTCAACAGACTGCTCAAGAGGTCCATGATTTAGAAGAGGTGAAGAAAGAAAACCTTTACCCTAAACATTCACCCCAGGAAGCTTCCACCATGTTCTTCTGTACATGTCAGGATCAATTATTTCTGGGACCAGCGACAGGCGATTTTGAGAAAACATTTATTACAAGATTCCCTTCCATTCATGGGAATGTGTGTGAGGAAGAGAAGTCTCAAAATACTGTTTACTTATTATGGCTAATCTTACTAGTAAGACTTCCTAACTGGTAATAGCTCATGAACTAAGAGCAATTGTAATGAGCTACAAGGTTCTATCATTTTCCTCAGAAAGAGAAATTGGGACCTAACTATATGGAAAAAGAAATGAGCAAATATCTTCTAACATTATTTTGGAGATTCTGCACCTGAAATAGAGCATAATTAGTAGGATTCGTTGAGATTTAAGGTCCTACAGCTTCATACCAACTCCATGAAGAGATTAGCATTTACTGTAGGCTTCTGAATTATTTCAGGAGTATGGCCCAGAGGAGGGCTGATTGTTTTTAAACACCTTGTAGCTCCCAGTGTCCTGCAATGGGACATTTTTTGATCCTATGAAGTGACTGGAATCTATTGTAGATTAGGATGTTCCCTCATTTCAGGGATGGTACCTTGAAAAGGGCTAATCTCTTTTTTTTCTAAACTCCTCATTCCTAAAGCAAGTAATTAAAGATTAGATTAGCCTCTACAAATGACTCTAAACAACCCTTTCCCTTCATTTATAAAAAAAGAATCAACCTCTATTGGACCATATGGGACAGTTTTGGGAATCAGGGGCCTGGGCCACTGAACAGAACAAAATTAGTTGACCTCTAAGGGGACTCGCTTATCCTCTTCCACAGACAAGACAGAGAGGGCCCAGGTTGGGAAAGTCTTTGCAGGAGACAGCCTCTTCCCTGCCCTTGTGGTAATAATTCCTTTTCTGTCGTAGATGATGATGAACACGAATGGATCATCCGGACCTGTCGGAAAGGCTGGGATGAGTTTATTGGCCATAAGGCTAAGCTCTGATCAGCCTTACTACTTCTGGGATCGATGGATACAGTTCTTGAGGTTGACTATCTCTCTAGAAGGAAATATTGACGGTTTCGTTGTTTGCCTGTTTTAAGTAGAAATAAAGACCTTTGGGATTCACTGCATCTGAGGTGTTTTCCTCATACAGAAGGGTCTTGCTTGCAGGGGAGTACGGAAGTATTATGGAGGCCAGGTTCTCACTTCCCAAAGATCAGTTCCTTTGTATTTACCTTATAATCACAAATGATCACCTCTCTCTTTCAAAATGTAAAACATAGCCATGCTGGATAACCTAACTGCAATTCTATAAAACCACTTTTTTTTTTGGATCATATACATAAAAAAGCAGTGAGTGCCTCAAAAGCTATTAAACTGAATTACCTCTGAATTCAAGCACTGGCTCTTTCATTTGTTAGTAGTGTGAAATGGGGCATACTGCTTAACTTCTCTGATGGTATCCATAACATAGGGATAACAGTATTTTCCCTTTAGGAATTATTAGGAGGACCTAATGAGATAACTTAAGTAAACAAATGTCATGAACATGACATCTATTATCATTATCATCATACCAGGTCAGTGCACTAGCATTTATTAAGCACCTGTAGGACCATAATGAGACTGGATGCCTTGGGGCTCTCCAGTCTGTGGCCACTGAACAGAATAAAATTAACTGGCCTGAAGGGGACTGGTACATGCTCTCGTGTGCAAGGTACTGTAATAAATGCTAGGTATACAAAAACTAAAAGATGAAACAGTCCTTGCCTTCAAGGAGCTTACATTCTGGTGGATGGTGGGGTGGTTCAGTACAAAGATATGGCTAGCACAGTCCTCTTAAAATAGTGTCAGGAATGATAACACTCTGAATGAGCCAAATGGATTGTCAAAAATTCTATGAAAAGTCTAAGTGGAATAGGGATTCTCTACTAATGATAGGATTCTTCAGATGTTCTTATTTGTGGATAACATAGTGTGAATTGTATTAAGGCCTAGAATACTAAGGGATCTCCCAAATGAGATCAGTGGCACTCAAAAGAGTTAGTTTAGCCAGCCACCATGGAAAAACAAAACGGATGAGAAATACACATTGCTTAGAAATGATATATAATTGGATTAGTAGTCCATTTGGTTTGACCTATCAATATATGCATTTAAAATTTTTTGGACAGGTGCTACAAATTGGGTGAAAAAGTCCAAAATTAAATAAAAGTAAAAATTTAGAACAAATCACATTTGGGCAATTACTTTCAATGATCCATGTGGACATACTCATTAGATTCGCCAAGTTAGGTTGTGGGAAAATAGATGCCTTACATGTTATACACTGTCCACTCCAGCCATTCTGGAAAGCAAAGTGGAATCTGAATTATCTCTTAATTAAGCGAGAGTACTACCAAGTCTATGCCCCTCAAGAGACAAAGAAAGAGAAAAAGGATTTATATATACAAAAAATACTTATAGCAGCTCTTTTCATGGTGGTAAAGAATTTAAAACTGAGAGTACGCATCAACTGGGGAATGGCTGAACAAGTTATGTTAGATGAATGTGATGGAATACTATTGTGCTGTAAGAAATGGTATAAGGGATGGTTTCAGAAAAATCTGGGAAGACTTTTATGAACTGATGCAAAGTGAAGTGAGCAGAACTAGGAGAACAATTTATATGATAACAACAGTATTGTAAAGATGAACATCTTTGAAAAAAATTAGTAATTCTGATCAGGCCAATGAACAGATCCGAAAGACCCATGACAAAACATGCTATCCACCTCCAGATAGAAAAGAGATGGACTCAGAGTACAGATTGAAGGATATTTTCTTTTGTTTCTTTTCTATATTTTTCTTTTAGGGATGGGGAGGTAATTTGTTTTGCACGTCCATACATATTTGCAATGGGTTTTGTTTTTGCTTTCTCCATAAGTGGGGGAGGTGGAGGTGGGAGTGAGAGAATTTGAAAGTGACAATAAAATAAAATAATATTGAATTTTTAAAAAATTATCAACATGGAATAGTGCAAAAAATACTGAATTTGGAGTCAGAAAATCTGGGGTCAAATCCTGTCTTTGCCGCTTTCTTCCTGCTTAACTTTTTTCAGACAGAGTTTCCTCATTTGTAAAATGAAGGGGATGGACTAAATGATCTCCAAAGTTTCTTTTTGTTCAAAATCTTAAGCTGCTTTCTGCCACTACAACTCATATTTTGGCCACTGGGGATTTCTATGGGTGTGAATCATGGAATATCATGATCTCAGAAGAATTAAATCAAGCCAGTGTTAGAAACTCCAAACAAGAATGGGTTCTCAGCAGCATCCTATTTGTAAGAAATTGAAAAGACAGTTCATTGGAAATATCTATGACATAACACTGAACTCCTCCTTCCAATGTCAGGCAAAGGTACATCTCCCAAAACCTTTTTGCCCTGTTTATCCCCCAGAAGGCACCAAATCCAAATACTGTATGAAATCCAACCTAGTATTTACAACCGTGAGAGTCATAGTGTCCAGACTGAGGAAGGTACCAATCTCAACTGTCTTTCAGGTCTAATCAGACCATAGCTGAAGTATTATGTTTATGAAGAATCAGATACCACATTTTATTATAGAAATTCACATTATAGATACCATATTTTAGAAAGGGCATTGAAAAACTGGAGCAAGTCCAACAGAGGGCAATCAGGGATCAAGAAGACCATGCCACATGATGATGAGTTGAAAGAGATGGGGTTGGTTAGGTTATAGAAGAGAAGGCTCTGGTTGAATATTTGTTTTCAAGTGTTTGAAAAAAGTCATACAGAAGAGAAATTAAGTCTTCTTCTGCTTAGACCCAGAGGGTAAAACTAGGAAAAGTGAATGAAACTTGTATTGAGACAGATTTTGAAAGTGAAAACTGGAGGACCATTTGTCAAGGATGCTATACCATGCTTGGGCATGGTATCTTTGAATCAAAGGGGGCTTACAATAGGCCATGGAGTCCATCCCTCTCTCTTTCATTGGATGACTAAGGACAAAGGCTTTACTCCCTTGATGGGTTGAGGCCAGACATGTCCTCTGTTTCTAGGCTGTGTAGTCTATTGGAAGGAAAAGCAAGAGTGGTTGCTTCTAATTGTCTAGGTGGTTCTAATTCTCTAGGTCCCATTTGGTATCTTCTTTTTCTGCTTGGTCTGTATTTCAGTTGGAATACACTAAATAGTGACTGGGCCTGAGCCTGAGCTCAGAGAAGCATTGAGGCAGAAGAGCTCATCCTACCACATCTGCTAGTCTCAATAGTCAACTCCGTTCTTCTCAAGAGTAACTCAATTTAACTTCCTCTCTCCTAGTGATGGCTTCAAATCATGGAACATAGTGATTGCTGAAGAGCTAAAACTTATAAATCACTCAAAGAGCAACAGAAAAATGCAAGGGGGGCGCAAATAATCTCAAACACGTACCTAAATATGATTTTGTGTGTGGAAAGTTAGGAGCTTTTATTAGCAGAAAAGGAGGTGCACCAGCTTTATGGCAATAAAAAGGCAACAGATAGACAACTGCAGTGATACATTGGTACTGCCATGATTCTAGAAGAATTGAAGCCCTTTTAGTATTTGGTAAATTGAAGATTTGTAGTAAAGCTTAGAAAATGGTATAGGATGAAAGCACAGAAAGATTTTAACCTGGGTCTTTGATGGAAAGAGTTATGCACACCTCAAAACTACATAGTGCCTAAAAGTCTGCACCACATTTTTCTCACAACTGTGTGAGGTAGGCATTACAAATATTATTTTCCCCACTTAAATGTATGAGGAAACTGAGGCACAGAGAGATGACACAACTAGCAGAGCATGGGGACAGGAGTCAAAGCCAGGTTTCTTGTGATTCCCAGCTCAGCCCTCTTTCTATCCTACCCTCCTGCCTCCATATCATTCTCAGCATTCTAAGTACACTCAACACTCCAAATTTGACGTGGCATCTGCTCTGTCCCCTACAGCAATGGCAGAAAGTGCTAGTTAGTGGTGGTGGGGAACTGCTTTCTTTTTCCTCTTCTTGGGGCTTGGGTAACAGACGACATTGATTGGGTAATTACACCAAGGAACACCATTGCCAGTTTAATGACCAGTTTGCTAACTGGGAAATTGTAACAATTTACCAGGAATATGCACTAAGCTGGTAGCTGGTGATTAACCAAATCATCACACACTGGGACAGGGGCTCCCAAGGCGTGATCTATCCACTAAGAAGCTAGTGGAAAAAATGGAATTACATCATTTTCTTGATGTAAGTGCCAGCACTTCTATTTGCATTAACTTTATTTATTACACAAATAAGACATTTACAAAGCACACAACATTAAAAGTATGTAACAAAACAGACATTGGTTTTACAAAAAAGTGCTTACAATTTTTTAAAATTTTTTATGTTTTTGTTTTTCTTCCATCTTCCCTTTTGTTTTATATTTAAATAAATATGAGTTTTGACCGCCTGCTGTGTCTAAGGCGGCTCTAACCATAGTAGTGGACATCTGTTGGATCTGCAGCATGCTGGGACCACATGAGCCACTTTAGGGATACAACTCTGGGGCAAAGTCTTAAGCTGAACTTGTGTCTGTGGTGACTCCCATACATGGTTCACCCATTGATCTCCCCTCCAAATTGGGATTGGAGGTTTTAACCATCATGAACAAAAAAATCACGAGAAAGATTTTGGTAAACAATTTATGAAACCACTCCCTTCTCTGAGATCTGGGACCAGCTGTTAAGGTTAAGTAGTGTTTTTGATTCAGAGATCTTCTTATGGGGTCCCCCTCCTCCGCCCTGAGTATTTCAGAAAATCATTGCCACTTAGAGCTGGGAAGGGCCTTAGAACATAGAATACTAGAGAGGGACCTTAGAATATAGAATTATAGAGATGGAAGGGATCTTAGAACATAGAATGTTAGAACGTGGAACATAGACTATTATAGCTGAAAGGGACTGTAGAATATAGAATGTTAAAAACAGAACATAGAATGTTAAAAGGAAACTTAGGTGAAAAGGATCTTAAGAGGTCGTATAACTTGACCACTTTAATTTTGCAAACTGGGAAGTAGAGGCCCAGAGAGGGGAGGGGACTTGTCCAAGGTCTCCAAACTCTGTATAGGACCCTTTCTGCCACACCAAATTTTGTCATAGTTTGCCCTTGCTGTTTCTGTAAATAGCACTCAGGCACACTTTAATCATGCATCATGAAAGACTCTTGCCTTCTGTGGTTCATTCTAACATAGGTGCAGTAAACACAGTTACCTGTGATGGAAGCTAAATGGAATGACCTGAGATACAGTTTGATTAGTGGTGACTGCAAATGAGAAATGAATCAGATGATTTTTGAAGTATTTAGATATTTAACAGAATAAGAGAAAGTTATAATCTTGGCACAGTTAAGGTATTTTTCCATATGCATGATCACTGTTGTTTTAAAGTCACATAGACACTGGGGCTTACTGGATGCAAAACTTCCTAGAGAAGGAGTTTTTGACTTCTCCCCTGAGGAACAGGCTCTGGAGCAGGCATTGGGCAAGGCAATAGATCTCTGTGGGGATGTGTGCAGAGACTATCCCTGAGGCAGATGCCAAAAGCCTCAGGGCCCTGGGGGATCACAATATTCAGACTGATTCAGTGGCTTTCTCCCTTGGGAGCAGCTTGCTGTTTAATGAGCAGGTCTTGCTTTGTGCTGCAAAGCCCACCTGCTTCTCCTGGAGGGGGCAAACTGGTGAGAACCTCAGAGAACAGGTAGTGCCCAGTGTGGAAGGTCGACCACTGTTTCAAGGAGTTTCCTCCCTCAATCTTGTTCCAAACTCCTTCTTACCCTTTCACTGGTTACATTAGTCATGAGATAAAACAACTGCCTAGATGAAGAGGGGATAGGGGTACAAGTAGATCCCTGTTGTCCTACTTAAATAGTCCAAGTAGCTTCCAGAGCCTAGTTGAAGAGTAAATCTAACATTGCCTTCACTCCTGAACAGAGGAGAATCACTGACACATTGTTCCATTGTTAGTTTATGTGGGGCTGTTTCTAGGACACAAAGGTCCTGTGATCCTAACATGTTATCTCCTTGTCTCTCTAACAGAAAGCTCCCAGTTCAGGTTTAGAATGACCCATCATCAGATATTCACTTTGTCATGCCATCAGCTGTTTTCTTTAGGACCCTTACCCTATGGCATTTTGGGAGGAAGAGAGCTGACCTTGTGGCCCCATTCGTGCCCATCAAATTCAGTCCCTCTCTGAAATGTCTGGGGCTCTGGCCTGCCAGTGGTTCAACCTCTAAATTGGCTGAACTTCACAGTGTTGCCCTTATCCTGCTGCTGCAGGTGCTCTGTGCTGACCCCATACAAAGCAATTATTTAGAGGTGTTTGCCTCCTACTGTATCCATCTGCTGAAAGAGTTAAAGATGCATTCATTCTGATAAAATAACATTTTTGCTCTATATTCTGCATACAAGTTGTATAGCCTGAAAGACTAATAATTTTTCCCCTCTTGATTTCCATCTTGTTTCTATTTATTTTCTTTTAAAAATGAGTTCCCAGGGGAAGCTAGGTGGCAAAGTGGATAAAGCTCCAGCCTTGGAGTCAGGAGGACCTGAGTTCAAATCTGGCCTCAGACACATGACAAGTACTAGCTGTGTGACCCTGGGCAAGTCACTTAACCCCAATTGCCTCACCAAAAAAAAAAAAGAGTTCCCTTTAACTGAAGGTATTCAACCAGAGGCTGAAGGGCCACTTGGCAGGGAAGGGATGCATGCTTTTGATGGGGATTGGATGAGATCACCCCTAAGGTCTCTTCCAACTTAGAGATTCTAAGATTCTGTGATTTACATCAATAGATTGGTCCTTAGGATGGGACTGGAGTGAATGATTAGGGTTCTCTGCTCGGTTCGCCAAATCTTTCTTCCCTAGCTAGGCTTTGCTGTAAGCTGGAGAAAAGAAGAACAGCTACATTCTGAAAACTGGCAGCTGCATATATATCCACTGACTTAAAGGTTCAAAGACTCCTATAGACATTGTGCCCAGTGTGGGACCGCCTTTTCTTCTGGATGGGTAAGCTCTTCATTTGCATCCTCTGTGGCTCTCAGAGCTGGTGAGTCTCACTTTGTTCTCTGAATTAACTTGACACAACCAGACAGATGGAAATGATAAAATTAGAACACAGTTTTCTTTTGGGAATTTCCCACAAAAAAACTGTATAGTTTCTCAAACAAAAGCAACTGAGTGGATAACATTTGGGGTTGTCAACTATTCAGAATTCATAGATGGTCTCAAGGAAATGGGTAACAAAGGCCAATATTAAAAAGAATTAAATTGGATATTGTTACTGTCCTGACAATTTCATTCTTTCTTAATTCTAATTCACTCAAGTTGAAAATTATTTCAGTTCCAATAAAAATAAAAGTTTTTTCACCCTATTTCCAAATTTGGGGGAGCTTTGCCTTCCAAGAAGTGGCCTCAGGAGTGTTCCCGGTAGCTCTGGGGATCCGTGCTGGCTGGACTTGGTCTGCACAGCTCCGGGCCTGCTTTCAGCAGGAGGGGAAGAAAGGCCCCGGGTGGCTGAGTGGGGACCTGGAACTGGCTGGTGGTTCATGGGAATGAATGGAAAGGCTGAGGCAGAAGCCACTAGTCATACGGGCAGACACACAGAATTTCAGTGACTGAGGGGCAGCTGTGGAATCACCATAGACAGATGTGGAAGAGTCTGCGTAGTCAGTACTGAAAAAGGATGACCTGTTGGGAGGGAGAGAGTAGACGAGGAAGGTTAGACAAAGACATATGAAGGCTTCCCACCCATCGTTCTGACAGCCATTGCCCTTTAAAGTCATGCTCTATGACTGGCTCCTGGCTCCCCAAAAGAACTAGTGACTCATTCTTGTTGCTACTGCCAGTAAAATGTTTTTCCTTCACTGAAATAATTGGAAACAAAACTTTATTTAAAAAATGTATCTGACATGGGACTTTCCTTTTATGCTGAATAATGTTCACACCCATAGACCCAGAGGCAGGCAGTGTGGTATATGACAGAATGAAGGATGGTACTGGATGTAGAGAATAATGATGATGAAAATAGCTGACACTTATAAGATACCTAAAGATTAAGTGCTTTGACATTCATTACCTCACATGAGTCTCCTAATAACTCAGTGCTGTAGAAAATTCAAATATTAGTATTCCTTCCTACCCATTTTATAGGTGAGGAAACTGAGGCTTAAGAGTCTGAGTGACTTTCCCAAGGTTACTCAACTAATAAGTGGGAGATCTGGCCAAATTAGACTCAGCAACTCTCCCTTTCAACCCACCAAAGCAAAATTGACTTTCCCAAGAATAGGAATTAAGTCTTCTCTGAGCTCACTAGTGATGTCCAGTGTTCTGGGAATCCATCCACAACAGGCATCTATGATCACTAATGATCTCTCAGAGAAGACTGCATCTTGAGTCCACTAACTTCATTTGGTCAGATCAGAGCACTAGAGTTGAAAGACCCAAGACTGGGAGCCAGAAGATCTAGGTTTGAGTCTTGTCTCTGCTACTTTCTATGTGACCTTAGGCACCGATGTCACTGCTATTTCTTACTTTCCTCATCCATCAGAGAGATGATAACTACTTGCACTATTTACTTCACACAATGGTTTTATTTATTTCACATACATCATGAATATGAAAAATATCCGTAACCATAAAGTACCATATACATATAAGTTATTATTATTTACTTAATCCCATCTCCTGGCTGGTCAGTCCTGCCTGCTCTTTTTGCCTTATTATCCATTTGGTACTAGAGCATTTTGATGGCTCTTAACTAATGACAAGAGACTCCAGTCCCCTGATTGGGGTAGGCTTCCCTTTCCTCTCAGTCAAGGGAGAACAATGTCTGGAAGTGACTATAGGCAGGAAAGTCTTCAAGTAACCAAGTCCACTTCATGTCTTGGTCCCTTTGGTTTTATCTAGACAGTGAGAGAAGTGACAAAGTGCTCTATCCTACCTACACCTCACACAGGCAGAGGAGGAGAAGAAAGGAATAGAGAAAGAGATTTAGTGGATGGTTGTGTACAAACAAGACTACTGAGGAAGATAAAATCATTGAAGGGTTGCACTGAGATGGAATCAAGAACAAAGAACATTAGACCACAAAACCCTGGAAAAGATGTTAGAACACAAAACATTATGTTAGAGGTGGAAAGGATCTTAGAAATGAGATGATAGAATATGGAATGTTCATCATAACTGTAAAGGACCATAGAGATTTTCTAGTTCAACCTCCTTATTTTACATATCAAAAAACTATGACCCAGAGGAGTGATTTGGCCAAATTAACACAGTCAGTGGCAGATCCAGAACTGGTTTCTGTTCAATGAATGTTTCTACTGATTTGTATTATTTATTGAAAAATGAAATGATACAAGGTGAATGTTAGAGAGGACGGTGATAGAAGTAGCTAGATGTATACCTTTTGTTTTGGAGATAAGTAGCCCTTGAAGTGAGCTTAGAACCTCACAAGGTGAGATTTAAATACATCTTCCCAAACTGCCCCCTCCCTTTAAGTTTTCCTCCTACTCCCAACATCAAGTGTTACGAAATGCTCTCTAAGTTAATAATCCCCAGCCAGCGGCATCACCCCCAAACCCTATGTCACTGACCAAACCATTAGATTGCAAACCAAAGTTATTGTGAATCCTATTAACACGGACCAAAAGATAGGGAGGGACTATTCTATCCAGAAGTAGAGGAAGTATTCCAGTGGACTCTCCAGTTTTCAGTCACAGTATTTACTTACTAGGTCTTCTGGAAAGAGAGGAGTTGCTGGGAAGTATTCACCACTAAGTAAGTGGTTTTCTATCTCTCTCTGCAACCAAGAGTAGACAACTAACTCCACAACATAGGGAAGGAAGGCATAGCCAAGCTATGAGTGAAAATGAGACTGCTATAGAAGCAAGCACAGACAAAATAGCTCCTTTCCAAAAGTTTATACTTTTTTTCCCATTGAATGTTCCAGATCTAAGTCAGAGACATTTTGAAGGTTACATTAAAAGAAGAAAAAAAATTTTTTTTTGTATTAAGAGCCTTATTTATAGAATTGGGAGCAGATACAAAGAAAGAACAAGTTTAGAAAACTTTGAAGTCAGCCAACTAAGTGGAAATGGATACTAAGTAATTAACTACTGCTGAAGAAATAACTATAATTTATCCACTGGAGTTTTACAGAGACTGTAGTCCAGGGGTAGAGCAGAAGACTCACATTGACAACGGAAGCCTCAGAGATGGTAAGTCATCATCAGAGTGACATCTCTCAGCTCTTACAGTCAGGACCACACAATCTAGCTCTGTCTTACTTGAGGGAACTGTTTCATTTGTTAAAGCTTTATCTTCCTATTTAGATTGTTAACTCTTCCAGGACAGGTTATTAGATCTTTTGTGTCTTCCCCTATACTAGTGTCTATCGCACAGTAAGTGCTCAAACAGACTTTCTGTTAACTGGGTGGCCAGACTGAAGGTCTCCCTCACCTTTCCCTGGAATGGAATTTTGTACATAGGGAAAGGTGCAAGTGATGGAAGGGAAGAGGCCTTATCAATGAGGATGATAGCTTCACCTTAATCTTGAAAATGAAGAACAATGACACAACTCCTTAAAATTCTCACTTGAAGACAGAAAGCCTAAAGCACTGTGCAAGATATGAGCCAAACTTTCATAAGAACTAGGAATATAAGAAGACAAGATAATAAAACAATAATAACAAACAAAAGTAAAATGGGAATTTTACAGATGAATAAATAAACTTAGAGAGTTTTACCTCTAACTTGCTGAATTTGCTAAAGGTCACACAGCTAGTCAAACTGTCAGGGCTCTGGTCTCCTGACTCTAAACCCATAATTTTTTTTTACTACATCACAGCAACACTGAGGGAATCCTTAGGTTGAGGGACAAGGGGTAGCTCCTTTCCTAAGTCTGGGACTGGAAATGTTAGAGAGAAAATCCTATTCAGATAGATTGGATCAGATAACCTCTTTGATGCCTTCCAGCTGTGAGATTCAAAAATCATTGTCACTGAGACCTAACATGGTAATATCATGAACCTTTACTACTTGTTTCACTGTCTCAAGGACCCAGGGTCTCTTCAATGTGAATACTGAGAACATCATAAGATTTAGATTGGGAAGAGACCTCAGATGTGATCGAGTCCAACCTCCTCTCATAAATGAGAGAAAGGAAGCCCAGAGAAGTAACTGTTCTAGGTTTATATGATGACTGTGTGGCAGAACCAGATTTGAACCCAGGTCTTGTAACTCCAAATACAGCAGTCTTTCCACTACAACATCTTGCCTCCCCACACCATGCTGTTTTCTTCTGTCAGTGGAAATGGAAATTCCCTGCACAGATAAATTCATTACCTGGTGCCAATCTTCTATTGATGTGACTCCAGTGTAGGTAGGTTGTCTTTGCACAACAATTGGCACTAGGCTTCTATTCAAAGCCTTTCCAGTTTGTTAGGACCCCCCTACCCTCCTTGTACTTCCTGGCAGAGCTGTGAAGAAGCCACAGTCACTCCCACACCATGATGAAACATGGGGGAAGGGCCTCAGTGGAAATCAGCAATGATGATGACAATAAAAACAATTATACCCTTGCCTGGACTGGATTCATACACACCTTAAAAGTAGGATGTTTGTCATATCTTGGAATAAATCCCCCTTCCCCCCAAGAGCACTTCTGAATACCTATGATCATGGAATCATAGAAGCTTAGAGTTGGAAGGGACCTCCAAGGTCATGATGTCACTAGGAGATTTCTAGTCTAACAATAGATTATTACCATGTAGAATGAAAGCTGCTTTATTCTATATTCTTTCAACTGTAAGCCTCTATTAACCATCACTTCTACAATGATAATTGATATGCACAGGTTGACCCTGAGACCCTGCCAGATCATGAAGTGCTTTCTAAATCATCTAAGAAAGATTAAATTATGTTCAGGATAGTTCTGCTGTTAAGCATATTTTATTTTATTCTAATAATCTGAAAATTGGCAATTCATATATGGCATATATAATAATTCTCTATCAGTATAGCTGATGAATAAAAGTGGCCCATTCCTTAATTATATTGGATAATGGAGAGATAACCTTGGGTAACTCTCTGAGCCTCAGTTTTTTCATCAATTAAATGGGGATATAATATATATGTATGTATGTAGGGAATATAATAATACTTACCTCATAAAGTGATTGTGGGGAAAGTGATTTGTAAAGCTTAAAGAGGTTATTTCTTGGGAGTTATTATTTCTTGGCTAATTTTTCAACTGTCAAATTACAGTGTATTAAAAATTGATTTACCAAGCAATAAAAATTAAAATGCCACAATGAGTTGGGATAAATCCAGGTCTTTGTAATAAGAAATGGCAGCATATAGAACAGACTCCGGAGTTACTCCAGTATGGATGTATGTTGTAGTCTGTGACTTCTTGAAGTAAGAATTTATAGGGGTGAGAACCAGAGAGTGACAGGATGGATAAATGGACACTGCACTACACACAGACACAGGCAGATAGACCACTGGTTTCTGAGGAAGAGATGCTTCAACAGTGTATCACTGATAGGCCCCAGACCCTTAAGATGGACAAAGGACCTGGGGTGGATGGAGGTGAATACATTTGTAAAAGCCCCATAGCTCTAGTGCCAGCAGAGCACCACCTCAGTGGCATGCATGTAGGGGTGCCTATTGGGAGGAATACATTGTAGTATCAGGGGGCACTTAATTTACCTTCTCACCCCTATTAGAGAGTGGTCCATCCATGTCGGCTTTGAGGTGAACTGGTGGGGCAGTGTAAGGAAGCCGACAATGCACCTGCCCACATTGTACCTGACCTGTAAACAAGAAGATGGCTTCAGCCTCTGGGGCTCTCTATGCCAGAGATTATCCTATAGCATCACCCGAGGGTTGAGGCCCCAGAGAGAAATGTCACAAAATATTGACTCTGTCATGGAACCCTCAAGTGAAATGATTAAGTTCATCCCCCATATTTCAGACTAGATTGGTTGTTGGCTCATGGGGACTAGGTAACCAGTTAACTAGTATTAACCAGTTAATACTAAATTTTAGTATTTATTGAGCACATACTGTATTCAAGGCCCCATGCTAGGGGCTCTATCCCATCCATAAAGATCTCTACTATCTTCCATACCCCATTCCAGCAACTAAAAACCATCACTGTTGGAAACATTCTTTCTTAATCTAAACTAAGTTCCTTTTGGTTAAGTCCTTTTCCTACTCTCTCCACTGAAAATGGAAATGTATGATTCCCATCTATGCATAATCCATCACAGACCTAAAGGGTCAAATACCCTACCACCATCACTGCCCCAATTCTTTTTTTTCCAGACTCAAACACTGTTAGGGTAGGATTCCTTTCATGTTAGCGTGGATAAGGGAAATGAGCCTGGTAGACCATTCAAAACCAACCCTAGCATTAGCCATATGGGAGGGATAGTCTTGATTTGACCTAAATGAGTGTGAAGAATTGTGGCTATGAGTGAATCAGTGCCTTTCACCAAAAAGATATGGGTGGGAGAAGAGGATGTGTGTGTGTGTGTGTGTGTGTGTGTGTGTGTGTGTGTGTGCACATGCGCACACACTCGCACAACTGGCCCAGAAGTATTTTGATTTTTGAGAGGAATTATAGTTGCTGTGGGTATAGTTTTGCCAGTAACCCCATAACTGATGCCTTCCGACATTAGGTGTTTGCTTCTTCCATTGGGAAAAAAAAAAAAAGACTGCAAGATGTTATACAAGGTTTATCTGTGAGCCTGGGCTAGAGATACTTCTCCCAGAATTAGAGCTCTTTCAGGGTGGCCCATTGTTTTCCTCAAATAGCCTCGCCCAACTCTTTAGTCCTGAAGCAGAATAGGTCAGTCATCCACTGCTCAAGGTCAGGGAAACCTTTTCTAAAGTATCGAATTTCTAATATTCTATAATTTGAAAATTCTGATTCTATGATTCTAAAATATGACCCTAAGAGTCTTTGGCCCCTATGTTTCCAGGGTTCTGAGATTCTAAGATTCCATGTTCAAGTCCTACCCAATTTTAGGTTCTATGGTTCCAAGCTTCTAACTTGTTCTTTGATTTCAGGTTTGTAAGACTCTAAACTTGTACGATTCAAAGATTCTAAAATTTTGTGATTTCAAGAGTCTATTATATTTTTTTTTTGGCTAGGCAATGGGGTTGTGACTTGCCCAGGGTCACATAGCTAGTAAGTGTAGTAAATGTCAAGTGTCTGAGGCTGAATTTGAACTCAGGTCCTCCTGATTCCAGGACCAGTGCTCCATCTACTGCACCACCTAATTGCCTCTAGAGTCTAATATTCCTAAGATTTTAAGCTTCCAAGGTTACAAATTTCTAAGGCTCTATGACTTTTAAGATTCTGTGGTTCTAGATAGGGAATGATGTTAAATTCATGGACCCCATTATCTTAGTTAATTTTAAAACAAACAGATCTCCAGGAAGAGAGAGGTATCATCTTTTTGTATCCTTCTCTGCAGTTACTTTGCCTATTTTTTTAAGTTTAATTTGGTATGTATATGTCACTTCCCCTTGAGTCTCGGATGTGTTTTATTTTTGGCTTTATATCTCCAGAGGCTAGCATAGTAACTGGAACACAGTAGATGCTTAATGAATACTGGTTGAATGAATGAATGGAAGAATGCTGGACTACTTGGTCAGAATTTGGGTCTATGCCCAGAGAGAGCACCATCATGAATAAGGGTGTCCCTGCTTCAGAGAAGAGCTGAGGGAATGGGGTAAGACTTAAGATCCATCTTTGAGATTCCGTGTCTTAGTATACACATCTTCAAGGCGGGCGAAGCACAGATCTGAAGCACAGATCGAAGCAAGCTGCCCTTTCCTGCATGGCAATGAAGACGATGCTCTGTCACATAAGTCTTAGCCTGGCCCCTGGTGATCCAGCAGGCCAAATCTATACTAAACAAAGCAGGGAAGCAAAATGAGACCCATCATCCTCACTGCTATGGAGAGATAGCCCTTTTCCTTCCAGAGCATATCTCAATACCCAGTCTGCAGAACACCTGAAATCTGCTTCCTCTTTCCTCAAAAGAGGCACTTTTATCGGACCCTGTTGTTCTGAAAGTACAGCTGGACCTACTTGGTCTACACTGACCTCAAGGTGAAATTCATTTCCAAAGCTTTGGAACCCTTCCCATCTTGTTCCACTTCTAATCTAAAAATCCATTTAACAAGACATACAGATAGATTTTCAGTACAGATAGTGTCAAATTATCTGGATACTGAGGATGATATATAGATACACTTTGAAAATTAATCACTTTGGGAAAAAGAGTTCCTCATACCAAGCAAGTTTTTGTCTGGCTTCCAAAGAATAACTAGCCAAAGGAGAATAATATTTTATTAGTGAAGAGTCCTGGATTTAGAGTTGTAGAACCTGGGCACCAACCCTAACTCTTCCCCTAGTGTGACCATGGGCAAGTCACTTGAGCTTTTTGAGACCCCAGTTTCCTCATATGTAAATAAAGGGGTTTTATTGAATCATCTCTGAAGGTCCCTTTCAAGTTCTAAATCCTATGAAGTACAGAATCCTAGGGAGACGCTCTTGCTGTTTATCTTAGGGAAAATCCTGTCATCATCAGTGGGGGTCTGAGACTCTCACAAGATGTGGGAGAGGGCTCCCCTGTGCCCACCCAGAAATTGAGGTGGGTATAGGGTGGGGACCTGAGGGACAACTCCAGAAGTGTGTGTAGACAGAGTAGGAATTAGGTACCTGCAATATATGTGTGGCCGGTGAAGAAGAGGCTGAAGAAAGACTAGCCCAGTATCCAAAGGATATTCTGGGGCCTAGAATTTTACAGCTATTTCTTAGAAAGTCCAGTTTAAGCCAGTGAATGAACAGATGAGTATATTTCATGCTATTTAGAGCCAGAATGGGCTTTAGAGATCATCTGATCCAACAATCTCATCATATGGATGAGGAAACTAATATCCAGCAAAATCAGTGGCTTGTCCAAGGCCCACAGCTGGGTTAATAACCAGTGTTCTCACTCCACATTCAGTGTTTTGCACCCTTGATATGTGTGGGCCCTAGAACACTGGCAATGATGGCAGCCAAGGCAGGACGCATCCCCAGGCAGGTGCTTCATCACCCAGCCTGAGCAGCTAATGTAATCATGAAGGTCCTAGTAAAGGCAGAGTCTGTTAGTCAAGGTTTTTTCCACAACCACAGGGTCTCTCTCATACTGCCCTCAGAAGTGAGAGCAAGAAGCTGGCTGAGAAAGAGCCAGAATAGCAGAAAACATGTTCTAGACTAGGAGATCCCTGTACACCATCCTAACAGAACAGAAGATAGTTGTTGTTGAGAGCACCCAGATCCCTGTGCTCCCCCTGGGTCAGAAGGGAGTCAAAAAAACAAAGCAAAACAAAACAGAAAGTGGTAGGTAGACCAGAGCCTACAAAAATCTTATAGGACCATGGTATTCAAAGCTGAAAGAGACTTTCGAGGTTATGTAATTCAACACATTCATTTTAGAATTGAGGAAAACGAAACAAAACTGAAGTGATTTGTGTGAGGTAGAATTGGGACTCATAAGGGATTACAATTATTCTAATTGGTTCCATACAACAGAGCTAAGAGGAAAAGTGACAAAGCTATAGATCCTGACTGGAAAGGAATCTCCAATGATGGAAGTGACCTATAGTAGGTAATGAGTTCTGGGTCACTAGAGATCTTCAGACACTGGATGATCTTATCAAGGAGGTCAAAGGGGCAATTTTTATTTCTGATAAGGATTGTACTAGATGCCCTTTGTAGTCTCTTCCAGCTGTGAGATTCTATTATTTTCAAACAGAAAAGAACACTTCATGGGAACTCTAGCCAAACTCAGGAGAGAAACACTTTCTTCCCCAGGGACAGAGAAAAGAAACCCAGGATGGACTTAAGAGGGGAACAGGATGCAAGCAAACCATTTTCATGCTTTTCTAGTCCAGGTCTAACAGGGGGGTAAGGGTAGGAGAAGTGTTGTTTCTGATCCTTCCAGTGGGACTATCCCTTGCCCTTCTCCCTAGCCAAATGTCCATCCTAGCCTGGCCCTCATTTCTTTTCTGCCAGCTTCATCCGTTCCCACCAAACCCTGAAGTCAACAGAACCAAAACAGCAAGCCATTTTCCCCCAGGAATCTGGGAACATCATTTTCTCCCAGCTTGGCTGGGTTGCTTTGTATATCTCTCCCCTCCCCTAGACCCTAAGGGCTGTGGTCACTTACTTTCTATATATCCGTGCAGGGTGACCATGCGGGCTCGCTCAGGGCTGCTGAAGGGGGAATAGTGGATGTCATCAGACAGGGAAGAGGAGAGACGGGACTGTGGAGCTCCAGAGGGTGGCACTGTGTGCTGGGGGGTGTGCTTTTTATGGCGGGCTCGGCAGTTTTGAAACCAGACCTGAAATGACAGCCCCAACCCACCCCCAAGGAAAATCCCACACAGCTGGTCAGGTTGTTGAAGTTTGTTCTCCATCTCTCTTCATGAATGTCCCAGAAAATTCCTGTCCCCTTTAGGTTCCTGCCTCCCCAACCCCACCCCCATGATGTGTTTTCTGCTGGACTGCTTAGCTTGGGAGTTGTTCCCGCCCAAAACAGCAAGGCCATGTCCAAGAGCCAAGGAATAAGTCAAAGGGTCATAAGACAGAGTTGGAAGGGCTCTTGGGTGACCCCTTCTGCCTTTGGGGAAGAACACTTGCTCTCCCATGGCCTTGGGAGAAGAAGAGCATCAGACTAAAGGATGGAGAAGATGTAGAGTAGAGGCAAAAGTCTTGAAATAGGGGTATAATGTGTTAGGGATTTAAAGTTTGGCTCTTAATTGGCACAGAGCAATTTCTTAATGTTTGTGTCATGAAACTCATTCATTTTTAATAAGAAAGGAACTAAAGTCCAGGGGGTTAATGACTTGACCAAATGACCAATGCCAAGTAAGCAGAAAGTAAGGAAACAGAAATGGAATTCAAATTCAGGTCTTCTGACTGAAAATTCATTCCTTTTTCCATTATACCATGTGTCTGAGGGATCAGGTCCATATTCAGTTCCCACCTACCCTCTCCCCACAGAATTTTCCACCCCTTCATACATGGTTTCTACTCCCCCCCCCCTTCCTTCTCCCCTTACAGTCTTTATTTCTCCTTGAGTAGCAGGACCAGCCCTGGCCCCACCACAATGATTTCTGTCTCTGACTCTGTCAGCCTCACCCTCTTCTCTCTCATTGGGTGTCTGCCCTCCGCCCACCTGGATAACTCGACGACTAAGGCCCGTCATGTCTGCCAGCTTCTGAAGTGTCTGTGCATCAGGATTGTTGTCCTGGGCAAACTGGGCCTGCATTACCTGGAGAACAGAGTGAGGGTATTAGGGGTGAGGAGAAGGAGAGAAGGTCAGGGAGCTGGGAGGTAGGCTCTCCCTAGTCATCCTCTTGCTCCCATCCAGATAGGCCTCTAGCCTGGGAGGCCCACTGCCCTGAGCCCGTACCTGCAGCTGCTCCGCTGTGAAGGATGTCCGTGCCCGCTTGGCTGGCTTTGGTTGACTGTCCTGTTCTGATGGCACGGCCCCTTCCAATGTGATCCCATTGCCTGAGAAGGAAGAAGGGATATGGATGGAATGCTGTCTCATAGAATCAGAGGACCATAGCATTTTAAGCTGTATGAGGCCTTAGACATCACTTTGCCCAATCCCTTCATTTTACAGATGAGCTGAGGCTTAGAAAGTTTAAATGACTTTCCCAAGGTCATACAGGTAGTAAATGGCAGAGCTAGGATTCTAACCTAAGTCTTTTGACTCCAAACCCAGGCCTCTTTTCCAATATGCCACAGACTGGGTACCTGCTTTCCTATAGTCTGGAGAGAAGAGAGAGTCAGATTAAAGGATGGAGAAGATTTAGAATAGAGTCAGGAGGCTTGAAATCAGGGTGTAAAGTGCCAGGGATTTAAAATTTGGCTCTTAACTGGTTCAGAGTAACCTCTTGTATTTGTCTTGTGTGTTATGTATATTCACCATGTTTATTAAAGAAACCATATGATTCGGTCTACCCAGTAAAAGAACAAGGTTGTGTTAGTTGAAATAGTTTGGAAAGTCCTGATGTCTCTTCCTGATGTCCCATAGGAATGCCTATCTTCAGGGAGTTCCCAAATTAACTCTAGGGATAGAGGTTTGACCTTTCTATTTATGGAATTCAATCAACAGAAAGATATGTGTGTGTACATGTATACACATATGTATGTAGATATGTATATACCTATATATGTGTATATAAAGACACCTCTGTGCCTCCAAAGAAATAGGATGCCATGTGGTATGATGGATTTGGAGTTAGAAAACCTGGCTACTATCTCTTCCACTTGTCCCTCTGGGTCTGTTTCCTGACCAGTAAAATGAGGAGGTTGGATTGGATGATTTTTATGGTAGCTTCTAACTCTAAATCTTGTTGTTGAGGTCCCAGCTCAGACCTGCTACTTATGTGACCTTGGGTAAGTCCCTCCCTTTGCCTGGGTTTTGGTTTCTTCATCTGCTCAATGATGAAATGAGCTAGATGGTCTCTATGTTCTCTTCCTGCTTGAATTCCTATCATCAATGAAATGATGAGCAAAGAATCCTAGGATGGGAGACAATCCATTTGAGCCTATTTCTTTCCCGGTATGGTAGCTTAGCAAAGTCAAGTCCCTAGGCAGCCCTCTAATCAGGAATAATAACAGCTAACATTTATATAGTGCTTACTATGATCCAGGCACTGTGGGAAGTGCTTAACAATTCTAAACTCATTTCATACTTAAAATAATCCTGGGAGAAAAATGCTATTATTATCCCCATTTTACAGTTGAGGAAACTGAGACAAAGGTTAAGTGACTTGCCCAAGATCACACAGTAAGTGTCTGAAGCTGGATTGTAAGTTGCCTCCCTGACTCCAGGCTTGGTGCTCCTAGCTTCCTAGCACCAGGCACTGTGCCACCTAGCTTCCCCAAGGAAAAGAAGGAAGCTGTAATATAACGGGAAAGGGCATTGAGCTAAAAGACCTGAATTCTAATCCCGACCCCACCAATAACGTGCTGTGAAACCTCAGGCAAGTTGCATCCCTTCTTTGGACTTCAATTTCTTTATCTGTAAAATGAGGTGGACTGATTTTATACTTCTGAGGATGTACTAGCTGACTGTGGAAGGACTGTCTCCTTTGGTCCTTTTTCTCCTGCCTGAGTTCTCTAACAGAAGATGTTTTTTATAAGATTGATTTGCTGATTTCCCTGCCCCTGTACAGACTGGCTGGATGGACAACATGTATTGGCTTGGGATATCTCTATTTCTCTGTCTCCTTTTTCTTTCTGTCTTTGTGTGTGTGTGTGTGTGTGTGTGTGTGTGTGTGTGTGTGTGTGTGTGTCTGTGTGTGTCTGTGTCTGTGTCTGTCTGTCTGGCTGGCTGGCTGGCTGGCTTTCTCTCCTTCTCTTCTCTCCCTCCTATTCCCTCCCTTGTCATTCAGGAAGTTAGGGCTGGCAAGTCTCCAAGGGGAAAGGAGCTGCTTTGTGGCAAGGCTGACCTTCCCCCGCCCTGTGCTGTCCCCTTGGGGCAGTTGGGCAGGGGAGCTAATGGAGAAAGCAGACACACACCATCCCCACCTTCTCAGCCCTCACTTACAGTAAGCTGGAGAGCCAGGCCTGATTTGGGGAAGGCCAGGAAGTGAAAGGTGGGACCTGGAGTGGGTGGGGAGATTATGGAAAAGGCTTGTCCCTTTGCCAGCCTTCCTATCTCCCTGACTGTGACTCATCCCACAGGATTGTCTACTGCCCTGGTCATTCATGGGCATCGGGGGACACAGTGGGAAAGGGTGGAGACTGGGCTTGAAAGTAAGGAAAGAACGGAGAGGGAATCTCTTTCTTTCTTGCCTCCTGATCCATGCATAGTGCCACAGAAAACAATGTCCAAACTGGAAGGTTCCTTACAATGGAGAATGTAATAACTGCAATAGGACCTAGAACATAACATTTTATTCAGACCACAGGATATAGAATTTGAGAGCTGAAAAGAATAGCAAGGTGCAGATTGTCACAACACAAAGCCACAGAGCTAGATGAGACTGAGAGATCATCGGATCAGTAGATTTAAAAGTGGAAGGAGCTACAATGGTAACAACGAGGTCCCGATTAGTATGCATAACAAATTCCCTGAAGAGGTTGAGTTATTTGAATTTGCACTGCATTATTTCCATTGGGCCGGGAAACAGTTATCATATTTTACATAATTACAACTTCAAAATAGTGTGAATTCAAATACATGCAGCCATTTCAAGGAATTCATTATTCGCAGTAATTGGGACCTAGTTGTATCTGGTCTGATCTCCTCATTTTACAACTGAGGAAAGCCAAGCAAGCTCCTAAAGATAGTAAGGAGGAAAATGACATTTCTGGAGAGATAGTTTCCTCCTCTGGCCCAGGCACCATAAAAGAAGCCCTCCCTGAACAGGGTCTGTAAACCAGAACCTGTAAAAAAAACCAAAAAGGTGGGGCACTCTTGTGAACCTGGAGGTGAATTTGGTGAGGTAATATAATTCTGTCTTTGGGTGATGCAAGGGATAAGCTTCACTGTTTACAGCTTGTGCAACTTTAGTGAAGTCACTTATCCCTCCTGGGCCTCAGTTTCCTCATCTGTAAAAATGACAGGGTTACATTAGATTATCTCTAAACTAATTTCCAGGTTGAAAGCCTGTGATCCTGCAGGTTAAGTGATAAAAATCACTTGGGGTGTCTTCCATAAAGAAGCTCTAACTGCTCTTCCACTGTAAATAAAAATGCTTCTTATCCTTGATCTGTTTTGGCTGTGAGGAAGAAATAGGAACCTGGAAATAATAGCTCACCTTTCTATATTGCTTTAATGTTTATCTACCTATGAGTAAGTAATACAAGAATTATCGTTTCCATTTTGCAAGTAAAGAAAGTGAAGCTCAGAGACTTAATGTTAGATCTGGAAGGGATTCAAATCCAAGACTCTCTTAACTACAAGTCCAGCATTCTTCCCATGATACCATGCAACAGGAGATAGGTTCTGGAGCACTAAGTATCTGAACAGTGCCAGAGGTTTGAAGGTTAAGCCCAAGACTATGCTCAATCACGTGTTGACCCAGATGCACATCACTCAAGAAAAGTCAGGGTTTGAAGTCACTTGAGTAGGAGTAGTTCTGGAAGTGATGAGCCTCCTCTCTGTCCCCCACCCTCACGCCCCCTCCCCCTCTCCCCTCCACCCCTTCCCATTTCCTTTCTCCAGAAGCAGTGGATTCAGCATCTGGATTTTAGGTCCTCACATAGAGTGGTCAAGGAAATACCCACACTGAGGACCAGTCCAGTAGGACTGAGAGTTAGATCCAGCCATCAACCCCCTCAGAGACAATGCAGGACTCAGGCATTGTGGAAAGCAGCAGAAACAGTTATATAATTTCCATGGATGGCAACATCACGTACTTCAAGTCACACGAGGCGGGAACATAGGGTCAGACTCCTTGAGAGAGTGGTAGGGACCCTAGTGTCTTGTAAAGTGTCAGAGCAAGAATTTGAACTTGGTCTTTTGATTCTGAGTCCTGGGCATTTCCCCCTCCCCCCGACACCATAGCTCTAACGTCTATATTTTAAGCTCTTTCTTTTACGCTCTTCTGGAACTAACAACCTAGTGTCAAAAGCCCCTTCATGTTCTAATATTTTATGGACCCTTCCATATGCTATGGCTCAATGTCCTTTCCAATTCTAACATGCTACGTTCTAAGCTCTCTTCCTGCTCTAACATGCTGTTCTAAGCTTCTTTCAAGCACTAACATTGTGATCTAAGATCCTTTCCATCTCTGACATACTGTTATAGGTAGGGGTAAGTGCAGAGGTGGAACCTACATTGTGGATTCCTTCCCTAGAAAGGGGAGGGCACAGAAAGGGCCTGACACCCTGTCCTCCCATGTTCAGCCCATGGCCCAGTCTCCTGAGGACAACCCCAGCAAGATTTAAGAAAAGGGTAGTGCCCAAGAGGCTGAAAGAGTGTGGAGGCAGGGGATTGGGGATGGATACCGTTCTCAGCTGCTCTCTTGAGGTTCTCGATCATAGTGTCGTAATGGATGCGGCATAACACCTTCTCCTCCACCAGCCCGAACTCCTCGCCTGTAGAGAGCTGCCGCTTGCAGGAGAAGCAGGCAAAACAGGCCAGGTGGTAAGCATTGCCCCGTGCCCGTCGCACCCAGTCACTGGCAAAGATCTGGCGGCCACACCGGGCGCACTTGGTACCGAACCGGCTGGAAGAGAGAGAAGGGAAGGAGCTGGGACTCAGGGAAATGGAGAATGAAGGAGGCATCTACGCTAAAGTGTCTGTTTCTCTGTTCACCTCAATCTCACCACTGTCATTGCTTGTAAATAACAATAATCACAATGATAGTAACTTCCCTTTCTATAGCCCTTTGAGCTTTCCTCACAACTGCCCCTTTGAATTGAGGGGCATTTTGGCATAGTGGATAGGGGGACAGCTTTGACCTCAGGAAGATGGGTTCAAGTACCGCCTCTGAAATATACTTGGCTGTGTGGTTCTGGACAAGTCACTTAATCTCTGAGTACTCCATGCAATTCTTTAAGGCTATAAATTACAAATAAGCTACCATGATGAAGGGAGTTTCTACACAGAGAGTTGCTCCATGATGATGAAAACATAACTCTGATCAAAGAGTCCACTGGAGTCCAGTGGTACACATAATTCTAATTTACAGATGGAAAAACTGAGGCTTAGAGAGGCTAAGTTGTTAAATGCCTTGCTAAAAGTCACACAGGTCCATATCCTTGTCCCTTGGTCCTTACAAGAACCCTGTGGAGTAAGTTGTACAAGGTATATTATTTTCATTTCACAGATAGGAAATTGAGGCTTGGAAATGCAAAATGACTTGCTGAATCTCTTCAGGAGCAGAATTGGTGTATGTGGTGGGACAAGATGACAAGAAGCAAAGGTCTGTTGAGGCTGCAGACCAGACAAACAACATTGTCATCAGCCAGTGAAGGTGACTGAGAAACAAACTAAAACAAGTTAGCCTTAGGTAACATTTAAACCAGCTGGGCTTGCAGTGACACTCAGGGCAGCAAGCAAGGAGACCAGAAGAGACTTAAATACTTCTGATGTTCTGTGTTTGCTACTCCATGACCCACAATTATGTAGTATTTTTGGTTTAGAAAGCACTTCACAAAGGTAATGCAAAATGTGACTGTCCCCACTGTACAGATAAGGAAGTTGAGACTCAGGGACTTCCAACCCAGGTCTAACTCTTAATCTAAGACTTTAGAATCATAGAATTTAGGGCTGGAAAGGCTGTGAAACAACTCATTCATTTTAAGATAAGGAAAAAGAGACACTGGGAGGGGAAGGAACTTGCCTAGGGTAGTAAACAGCAGAGTTAAGACTTGAATCCAAGTCCTATAATTCCAAATCCAGTGTTCTTTTCCACACATTCCATGGGGCGGGGATGGGGGTGGGGAAGGAGTGTTAAAGGAAGACAAAGACAAGGAATTCTTTGGGATCATTTGTTTCCAACAAATTAAGTATTTTATATGCATATTGTTACATTCTACATGATGGAAAACTGAGCTGGGGTAAGGGAAGAGGGGCTAAGGATAGGGAGATATTCCAGGAGTCAGAGGGTATGTTTCTTTTGCATTTGGGCCTTTCAGGAAAATTAACATTATTTGGAAAGATGTAGGTGCTTTAAGAAGGGACAATGCCTAGGCCTTGCATGTAGGTCCTCAATGAAATAATTGTGTAATAGGTGGAAAAACCACTGAATGCAGAGTCAAGACACCTAAATTTGGGTCTTGTCTCTGCCATTTATTAGCTATGTTACCTAAGGCATTTCTTCTCCTCTATGAGCCTCAGTTTTCTTATATGTAAAATGAATAAGTTGTAGAAAAAAGTTCTACCCAGGACTGTCCTGATCAGTCACTCTCACTGCGTGATCTTGGGCAAATCACTTTATCTTTCTGTTTCTTTCCTCATCTGTAAAATGAAATCCTATTCTGTTCTAAGGTCCCTCCTGGCTTTGCTCTGTGTTCTATGTTATAACATTCTGCATTCTAATGTTCCTTTTAGCTCTAGCATTTTGTGTTCTAAGGTCCCTTCCAGTTCTATGTTTTATATTTGAACATCCTATAAAATGAAAACATTACTTTATTGACTGTGACATCTGTAAGCTGGTTGGTAGGCAGTAAAAGTGTGAAGAAAAAGTAACCTGGGAAAGCAGCTGAGTGCTGGGGACAGCACGAATTCTCAGGACTGAGGACTAAGGGTAGAAACTCCTAGGTGAGTTCCTGAAGGAGCATAAAGCAAAAATAAACCCCTCCACTCCCACTCCCCTCCCACACACACATTCAGAAAAGACAACTAACTATGCAAGTCTTCGTGTTTAGGACCCAAGGTGAAGGAGGGCCCAAGATGAATATGAACAAATTCATAATTTATGAGAATGAAGTATACAGAGGAAAGTTGAGGGTGAAGGTTAAGATAGAGGGGCTCATAGGAGCAAGCGACCATAGATTTAGAGCTAAAAGGATACTTAAAATATTGAGTCCAACCCTACTCATTTTATAGACAAAGAAATTAAAGTTGAGAGAAATTACTCGATTTGCCCATCTCCTGTGGGATTTGAACCTACGTCTTCCTGGCTCCAAGTCCAGTACTCTTTCCATACATTATTCTGCCTTAATCATATCTCAGAGGCTCCCAATTCTTTGGGAGGTGGCAGACAACATTGGTCATGCCCTACCTTACTCCCCACCCAAGTGACCCATTTTAGGCCCAAGTCTGGAACTTATTGTCCCCCCAGATATACTCTCTGGCACCTGAAGAGGAGAATGGAGCCACAGGCCAAGGGCCAGGGGCCATGCTTGATTTTCCAGAATGCCTGACATCATTTTCCATTGGGGAACTTATTTAAGTTGTTTAAAATGTTTTCATTGTGTATATTCAATGGTGTCACTGGGGATTGAGGGACGCAGCTAATTAAAACAAGACTGTGGGGGTGTGTGTGTGTGTGTGTAATCCCTGTGTTTGTGCAATATGTGTGCTGTTGTGTGGATACCTCCGTGAGCTGCACTTTTGTGTATCTATGTGAATCTCTGTGTTTCAGGACATCTGAGTGTGTCTCCATATATATATGTATATATGTATGTATAGATATATACACACACACACAAACATGCATGTCCCTGTCTTATCTTAATACATATATTTTATATGTACATGTCTCTATTCTCGTTTTTTTGTGTAAAATGTGAATGAATATGTGTGTTTCTGCACAAGGTATGGGCACCTCTCTGTGTCCCTACAAATCTAGGCTGCTGTGTGTGTGACCCCCTGCCTGTGTACCCTCGTTTCTATGTTTATGCCTACTTGGGTGGGGGGGGGGTTGGTCTCCGTGTTTATTTGTCTCCATGTGTATTCGGTTTTGGATCTCTAAGTCTTGTGTACCTATGTGTGTCTCTGTGTCCAGGGGTGTTTCCATATGCATGCATGTGACTGTCTTTGCTTTTGTAGGTAGCAAGTACTGTTCAAGCCTCTTTGTGTGTGTTTATCCCCAGGAGTGTTGGCGCTCCTGTCTCTGTGTCAGATGTGAGTCTTGCCTCACTCTCCAGACCAAGCCCGGAGAGGGCAATTTTTTGTTTTCCATCCATTCCTTCCAAGGCTAGAGATCTCCTTTTACTCTCCTCTTCCCTATTTCTGCACCTCCGCACTGTGATCTCCTCTAGTCTCAGCTCCCTAAGTGGGGCCTAACCAGCCCCACCCCCATCCCCACACTCAAAACCCTCCTGCCCTTAGGGCCTTTGGGGACTGGATATGGAGTCTTAGAGGAGCGGAGCCAGTAAGTGAAGTGTCCTGGTCCCGCTTGCTGCTCGCTTTCAGATTTAGGGTAATTATAGGCAGCTTTGAGCCCATAACAACGTACAGATTCTTCTCAAGGATGGAAGAGGGCCCATTAGCCGATGCTCCTCTAATTAACAGCCTCGAGGAAGGACGATCCTATAGTGTATTTAAATGATTAATCACCGAGCCATTTGGGAGAAGAAACAAGAGGCAGAGAAAGTGGGTTGTGGTGATTTTTCCCCCTTGACCGCCTCAGACAAAAATCCCCGGAAAACGGAAGAAGGCAAAGCCACGGTTAATCGGAAGCATCAGTACCCACGACGTTTAATTCAGCGCGCGCATCTTCCAAGAAACTTCGTTGTAGGCTGACTCCAGCCTGTGTGGCCTTGGTTCCGATTCACAGTGAATATAAATTCTCCCAGAAAAGGGCTTACTCTCCTCTCCCCACGGCGGCGAACCCACTGCCAGAGAAGTAGGGAAGAGAAGAGCGATGAATCTTTCGTTCCCTTTTGCCAGCCTCACCACAAGATTTAGCTTCAGAATCAGAGACACATGATGGTTTATTTGGTTGTGACGACCGTCAGTCAGGTGTCTTGTAAAGAGCCCTGGCCTGAGAAATAGTAATTAACTGGGTTCCAGGGGTGACCTTCAGTAACTTTACTTCAATTATCTGAGCCTCAGTTTCCCCACTAATAAAATGCGAATGATGATACTTGCAACACCGAATTCAAGGGCTATTTAAAAGCAAGCTATCATTAAGTCGGCTTTTGGAGGAGGGAAAGTAGACTCCGAGAGACTGAGAAAGGGTTAGAGGTAGGGAGCTCTCTGAGGGAGGGGAACTTGCAGATACTGGCGCTTTGGTGCGCCCTGATTGCAATTGTCGTATTTAACAGGAATGATAATTCCCAGCCCTAACGGGAATATTGCTGCGTCTCTAAGATCTGAGATTCCAGTTTCTACCTTTGATTCGTAGTCTTCTGCCCTAGCCCTGCAATGTCCTTGGAGACGGGAAGGGGCTCCGTGCACAGATACTTGGACCCGAATTCCCCCTGCCTCATCTCCCCAGCATTAACTTGGGCCTCCGGCTCTAAAGGGAGTCTGACAGCAAGGAGTCCGTTTGGACTCAATTCTAGGACTGTTAGATTGGACCGCGATCTTCCCTTCTGCTGCCCCGAGAAGGTGACCAATTCAGTAACCTCAAGGGGCCCAAAAAGCTTTCAGGGGAAGGAGGCCGAGCCCAGATCCCGTCCAGAACCACCTATCCCACCAACTACCTCCATTCCCCCAGTCCCTAATGCACACTCCAGTCCAAAATCACTGGACATTAGAAGTGCCCAATCGGCTTATTTTACAGATCAGGAAACTAAAGTCAAGAAAAATAACAATGGCCACACAACTAGT